ACGGGTGAGAGTTGGGACTCGGCTGGCTGAAGATCAAACTTCAGCTGCGTCTTCAGAAACATCTGCTGGTGCGAGTTTGGAATGGAGGCACATCGGCCGCCCTCATGCCCTGATGGATCGCAGATCTATTATTACAACAGCCAAGCTTTTCATCAACACCATCTTCCCTGGAAAAACGGACAGAAAAACAAAACGCTGGAAATAGTTCTGTAGATGGCTGATTGGGGTTTGGTGTTAAGAGTCGCATCACCATGATGACTCAGCCAAAACTTCTCTGTGGGTTGATTTTTCTCACTCAACCAACATGATATAACAACTCCAGAGGCAATTCAAACTGGACATTAGAGATATCTGATAGATCGGTGAAATGCAGCGTCTAGTCAGCGTGGGCTTCAGACCGACAGCAGATCAGACTGTGACCGTATAATGAAAGGACAGAGTTATCAATGGGCACAGATGTAGACAGATGAGTGATTATAAATGAGGGAAAGAAACCAGCTAGGGAATGAGAAGAAAATAAAAACGTTCGTGAAATTCAGAGCTTGTGCTCTTCTGAGAGACAGCATGTTGCCTTATTGGCACATTTTGAAACTTTTTTCTTTGTCTGGATTGTTAATAATTTAAGATTTTGAAATTCAGACTTGTCTTTTAAAAACTTAAAATTCAACCAACCAACTCAAATGTGATAGTATTCTAAGACTTGTACAGATATTTACATGAAAGCCTAAAATAATTTTTAGCTACTGTAATCGTTGACTCCTAAGGACATTTCAGCTAACAGCAGGGGATGAGTTAATAGTGAAACAATGACCTGCTTAATATGAACATCGAGCATCAAATGAGCTAAATGCTAACTGCTAATTGACGCACCAGTTTGACACTCCTTACATATTAAAAACAGATTGCAATGTTTCAATGCTAGTTTGAGCGTGAAGAACAATTTAACAGCTATTTGCTAATTAGTTAATGCCAAACGTCTAGTAAATGAACAAAGGAGAGATCGTTCCCAATGCTAACAGTTTCTAATGCTAATTGCTTCTAATGCTAACAAAGTTACTTGCTACAGTGAATGGTTTGGTAACGTCACACTGCAGAACATCAGTCAGCTGTTTGTTAGGGTGAAGGATCCCATCAGTAACCCAATAAATATATCAACTGATTCAGATTAGTTACATTTATTGATCTAACTATATTTTTAAGGATCAGTTACAGGGATGCAGTTTTTAGAGACTATAGCAGCAGCTGAAAATTGGCATTTTTTTTAAATATATATTTTTGTTTTTGTTTTTTTTCCCCCAAACTTTGCTTACTTTGCTCCAGAACGTATGATCATCTGGACTGGAAATAATCACCTGACTTTATTTGCAGAGTGAACTACAAATTTCTAGATTAAAAAAAAAAAGTACTCATTATTAAAAAAAAACATGTTACTTTTAGCAGTCCAAACACATCATATCATATATTAATCCTAATATAATTAACTTAGGACATAAAGGAACATGTTCACAAATATATTTTTGTAACATTTTGTGCACCTCTGGTCCAAATGGATACAAACCATTAAAAGTGCCGATAAGTGGCCAGTACCAGCAGCTTCTGCTGCATTCTGTCATCACTCAGCCATTTTTGACACCAAACTCTGAACTTCATGGTGAACTCCAACTTTCTTCAGCAGGACTTTGGACTTCATGGGATTTAGTTTACATTTTTCTGACTGGAAACTGTTTATAAGTACAAACAGAATGCACTGTTATCATTTGTGCTCTAAATTAGGCGGGTACAGACAGAATCAAACATCAGAATCAAAGTTATTCAACATCAAACATCAGATGTTTGATGTTGAATAACTTGGCATGTTTTCATCTTCACCATTAGCTCATGCTTCACTAGAAAGCTGTTGTTTTTCATTTGTTTCAATTGAAATAAGTAAATGATGTGGTCTTTTTTTGTAAATGCCTAGCAAAATAATTGAATCTGCATCCCATAATTCCTGCTGTGTCAGGATCATTTTTCAAAAATGCTGGACTTGATTCCCGTTTTTTTTTAATGCTGGCATTTACATATGTACCTAAAAAATGTTTTTCTCTCCCTTTGAGCAACATGTGAAGAACCGTTTCTGGCTTTGAGATTCACTCCATCTGAAATAAATTGGATGAGAGAAAAGGTTCGCTTTATTTATAGACCGTTTTGAACATATGTCAGCATTTACATTTGGCTGGGAAGCAGAAGCCTTGTAGCATACAAGCCTTTCCTTCTGTTGGAGTTTATGCTGCACAGACGTCTCCATAGACTTTAAGCTAGTTTTGCATTTATCTGTATGACATGAATAGAGCATTTCAAGGATAAGGCCTGTGTTTTGATTTGCAATTTGCTGTGGACCCGAAAAACAAAGATTAAAAAAAAAAAAAAATTCCCACACGGATTGAAAATCTCAGGTGCATTGTTTTTTGATGGCTCAGATGATTTGGAACTAGTTTCCAGCATGGTTTTGATCTACATTATGAGCTGGGGGTGCTCTACAACCAAACCAGCACTTTCTCGTGGCAGAGGAAGTGGATCTGTGCCGTGCTGCTGGAACTGCCCAGCAGGTTTCATGTTGACATACAACAAAATGCAAAGATAACACGGTCGACTGCCTTTATTTACAGTTTTGGCGTGCGTGCATGCGTACCCGCGCCAGCTTCCCCCCTCAGGTGATTAAAAACCGTATTTTCCTTTTGTCAGCAACAGCGCTGTCATGACTTTACCGTCTCAATGTTCTCCACAAACATCGTAAACCTCCACTGACGTTCTGTGTTCAAAACAACTGCGTGAGATCAAGGTAGAAGAAGCTTAATAAGTGGCTCAATATCCAAGCGCAGGCACGAACTCTGAGTTCAGCGCGGCTTTTGTGAAATTCAGAGAAAGTAAACTGTGACCTAAAGCTCCTGGGCAGGAATGTGAGGGTGAAATAAACTCAACAAATAAAATGTTCTGCACACAGCAATTATCAGCGACTCGAGTTCCAGAGTCACCTGAAACAAAATCCCTCGGTGTTTATGCGGCTGACGCTGTGGAGCGAGGTATGCGCGCATCATGCTGAGTTCAATCACACATCATCACTGGGAAAAAAAATTAAAAATGGTGGCAGTGTGTGAGAGTGAGAGAGATTCCAAATAAACCTGTTTCCAGAACGCCATGTATCACATTTCACTGTGGGATAAAGTGAGCCGCACCACTGATAGCAACACAGCGGCAGGAACTGCAGCACAGCAACAAAACATGATGCATTCTGAGAATGAGTCAGGCTCTCACTGACTCTCGATCTGCAAAAATATCCGGCCTTCGCAGTTCCTTTCAGCTTGAGAAGCAAAGGTAACCAACAAACGTTGTTCCTCTCAGATGCAGGGTTTTTAAAATCTGGGGAGTGAAGGTGACAAAAAAAAATCTCCACGCTATTAAGCACTGAAAAGTTATGTAAATTAAATAACTTGGAACTATCTTTTCATACATTCATACTAAAAATATACTTGGCACAAAAACAAAAGGAAGTCTTTTTTCTTTTTGGTATTGTTACCACAATGAAACTAACGATTATTTTAGTCATCGATTAATTTACAGACTGTTCTGACGATTAATTGGATGAAAAAAGTGACACTTTTTGCACATTTTTCATTGAAGCCTTTTCTATGCAACATTAGAAATGCATTAAGATTCAAAAAACGAGTAATTCAACTCATTTTAAAAATATTTTTATTGCCTAAAATGCAACAACATAGCATTCCTGGAGTGTAAACTTGATTATTTGTAGCAAACGATGCACTGGCAGCTAAAACTTCATTCTAACATCAACATGTGAAAAATTCAGCCCTCTGTGGTTTGACTTGGCAACAATACAGGGCTGGTATGTTGATTGTTTTCTTTCTTTTTTTAGATTAACCAATTAGTAGTTGGATAGCAAAAAGTGCTTAAGATATTTTTTTTTTTTTTTTTACATAATTTGAACCAGGTGAAGCTAAAACTGTAAAACTATGGCATTTGAGGAGTTTTGGACAAAACATATTTACAAACAAAGGTTATTATTATTTTAAAGACAAAATGTGCATATTTTCTATGCAGTCTAATTCCTGCTTTGAGTGTGTTGCTCTTTCAGCAGCTAATGATTAATGTATCACTAAATTAGTTACTTCAATATTGATTAATCACAATTAATCTGACTAATCATTTTAACTCCATGGCTAATAAATCACAGGAAAACCTGTTGATTTTCCCCTTTGTGGATTATCCATTCATGAACATGGAGCTGCTTTTGCTGGCCAGCAGCCTGATCAGAATCTGCTGTGGGTTAGCAGCCACTAGTAGTAGTGATGTGGGAATTTATTTTCTCCATTGCCTCCAGTGACAACAAGCCTTCTTCATCCATCCTCATCATTGGTAGATTGAATTTAACACACGTCTTTAGGGCACAACCCACATCCTCATCCATGAACGTTGTGATTTTTTTTCGTGCTCAGGTTGTTATTACTCTCTTCTTATGATCTGAATAAAGCTGTAATAAAGCCTCTTTATATTCAGGTTCCCTTCTCCTTTCAAATGGACCAAATGGAAAGACAGACAAAGGTCCAGATGGACAGACAGATGGTTCATCCGGGCATAATTAATACAGAAAGCTCCATGTTGTCCATGGAAAAGGCCACATCGACATGATTAAGGAATAAATGAAAGGAGGAAATCATTGGACAGAGCTGAGCGACAGCCTTGTCTGGCTGTACGCACACAAGCAGGAGAGAAACGCCTCACTTGTTGATGATGTCAAGTCCTGCAATTTAACTCAAAATGCGTCCCCAATTGGCTTCATCCCCCACCGTCTCGCTTTAAATCCTGTAAAGATCCACAATCCAGATAACCGCGCGCAGTAAAAACCCTGCCTGAGAGTTTAATGTGTAACTCTCCTCATTATTGCTGTAAACTTTTGCCCTGTGCGCTCAGTCACACCGTAAACTTTTCTCCTTTTTATGAAGCAACCTTTGTGGATCCACTGGAAAAGGCTTTCATCCTCTCTCGCACCCTGCGATGCATCAGGAGGATCCAGGCGTTTGGGGAGCCTGCAGTCTCTCTCTCGCTCTCTGGCTGCATGTGTTGATGAACAAACCGGCTGCACGTGTCAGAGCTTGCCTGTTCCTGGTGGCGACTGAGGCAGCTTTCATCCAGACACCCGGTGACGCTGTGCCTGCCACCAGCATCAAAGCACGTCTTCTCTCCAACGCCTCGGAGAGCATCGGGAAAATGTCAAACGGTTTGGTTGCTTTGGGGGTAAATCGCTGCTTCATGTGAAGTTTGGGAGTCTGATGACGTATTTAAAGCTGACGATGAACTTTCTGAGTCTTCGCAAAACACTACAAAAGACGAGTGTGTGTAACTGTAAGCGCCGCCTGCATGACAGTAAAATGAGCTTACCTGCCGAGATGTCTCCGTCACTTTGCTCTCCAGAGTCTGAATCCATCTTCCCCCTTTTAGGACGAGCGGAGGCTGTAGAAACTCTCTTAGTCCTCTCCCCTCCTTCGTCTCTTTCCTTCTCAGAGAAGAGTGCGCTTCTTAACCGAGTGGGAAAAAAGAAGACATGAAAAAAAAAAAAATGCAACTTCTGGTGTTTTATTCTCTCCCTCTTAACGAGCTCAGCTTCCTCCCTCTGCCTGGATCTCTGTAGTTGTGAGAGGAGCGCTGCTGGTTTGCTGAGCTGTCTGTCCTCTTAGGTTTTGTTGAGCTCCCTCACTTTCCCTCTTTACTTCTCCTTCTCATCTACTTTCCCGTCTCTGGTGCTCCCTCCCCTTTGCTTACTCTCAGTCCGTCCCCCTCTGCGTTTCTCCCTGCCTTTTTCCTGCCACTCTGTCCCTCCTCTTCTTCCTCCTCCTCTTCCTCCTCCTCATTGCTGTGACACTCTTCTCCCTCTACTCAAACTGTTTTTTTTTCTTTACCTCTCTCTGTATGCTGCGAGCGCTGTCTCTTCCTCTTTCGCTCTTCCTCTCTCCCTCCCTTTCTGTCACTGGCTAAGAGTGCTGCCTGTGTTTCAGCACAGCAATGGGAAGGACTCATTCACGGAGACTTGAAATGCAACTGCAGCACCAAAAAAATCCCATGACCTTTTTCCAAAGCCGGACGGTTTAAAATCAGGAATGCGGTATTTGTTTGTGGTCACATGACGACCACTGGTTGGTTCAGATGTGTTTGGATCACTTAGCCTGATATTTGGCTGATGATTCATACCTGAAAAACTGCATCCACCGCTAATTGGCATAGAAACTGAGACATTGTTAGGATTTTTCTTCTGAAATTGACTGAATACTGGTCACTAAGATTCATAGATCATCTCAAATATGCGGCTGGTGATTCAGTAGCCAGGTGCATGCCACTGAAACGTATAAACGTCAGCAGGTGCAGATCAGCAGACTGAGACTCATGCAGGGGGTTTGACAATTAGTGGTTTGAAAAGAAGACCCATAATGGAGGTTATGCCTTAATGAGCGACTGAGCAGGTGAGTCCAGTCATGGTTGAGTTATTCTCGGTGTAAGTTCAGCTGTTCTGTGAGGGAGTTTAAGCAAAGAGGAGGTTATAAAACAATATACCAAGCTTTACATATTCAGTCTGTCATCTGAGGACAAACGGCGCGACTAAAACCGAACTATGAAGTACTCAGGCAAGGAGAGAGAAGAGAAGCAGCCGAGAGGCCCGTGGTCACTTTGGAGGAGCAGCAGAGAGCCACGACTCCAGAGGGATAATCTGCTGACTGAATCTATTGGTTCCATAATTCTGGCCTTGTATTGAGGCAGGATGCCGTTTGCTGGAAAGGAGCCGCAACGAATCGTATGTGCAGCTTTGCATGAGGAACGTAGGGAAGTAAACATCTGGACCAAGGTGGTGTTGTTAATTGATAGACGAGGACTGACGTTTTTGACCATCATGCAAAATGCTTTGTGGAAAAGAAACAAAACAAACAATGTAACTTCAAATTAATTTGTGAAGACAAATGCAGAGCAATCAGCTTCATAATATAACACACACACAGTTAAATAAGAAAGACTTGAGCATGAGGTTCCAACTGCAGTGGATTGGCTTGTGTCAGAATGGCCTAGTTATGTCCATTTTAATATTTGCTGATTTTTTTTTTCTCATAGAGCATATTTAAAATATTTGAAGGAAAGTGCAGCTTGGGAAGCTACTACTATGCTAGCCAACTTTAGCTGCTAATGGCTCGCATTTGAAAAGCAGCCATTTAATTTTGCCTGCTGCTGATTGGCTGGACTCTCACACTGTAGATATTGATTTCTGCCAGTGGTGCAGTTTCCAATGTGCCTGTTAATGTTTATGAATGCATTTTTGGTGTTTTGACTATTAAAATATGCAGCTGTAAGCATTTTAGAGGGGCTTCAGATATTCACAGGTTTCAGCTATTCTCCTCCGTGAATATCAGGAGTCGGTCCACTGTATCGTTTTTCATCAGTTTCGCAGTTTGACATTACTTTGTCCATCTTATAAAATCCCAATAAAATACATCTTAGCTGAGGCTTCTGGTTGACGCATACCAAAATGTGGAAGTTCAAATTGTAGTAACACTTCTGCTCGCCACTAAGATTTTACATGAATTTTTGCTAGATTTTACATCGCAGAATCAGAGTTAATTGTGGAAAGCTGATGTGCAGAGATGAGGTAAGGATCACTGGAATAGAGAGGATTAAGTCAAGACCACCGGGCAAAGTGTGCCGTATGGGAGCGTCTGCTGTAAGGATTATTGATCAAAGGTGTGACAGAGGCTTTACATTTGAGCTTATAACACCATAACACCATCACTTTGCTTACATAAGAAACACCAACTTTCCAACACAAAAGGAAGAACTATTTCTTCTCTTTCACAGGAAGTGTTATTTTTTTACCTTGAGAACGAGTCCTTGGATGCGCCACTGAAGAATGTTTTCATTTGGCTGAACTCACATCAGAACTTAATTAATATCCAAGGACTCAGAATCAGAAGAAAACATGAAGGTATCTGTCAGATTTCTGAGGGCAGGAAAAACAACCTTGACAGAGCTGCATTCAGTTAAAGAGTTTACTTTTTTTTTTTCCATCTTTCCCTTTAAAAGCCTGTCACAGAAAAAGGTTGAGAAGAACCGAGCTGCATTAAAAAAACTAATTACATTTTTTGAAAGAATAAAAAGTTTGTTACTGTAATGGGTTAGCGACCTGACCGTAGCGAATATGAAATGGACAGACTAATGAGTCTTGGTGTTGGTAAATGATATTGATCTCTCAACATCCCCAATCTACTGTTTCAAATTAAACTGTTCATGTTATAGAGTGTTATAACACCGAGCTTTTACTTTAGATGAACCTGAATTTGCTATGATTATTGCTGCTAATGTCAAACATCAGAAGGTTTCTTGATTTTGTTGCTACTTTCACTTCTCCGTCAGCTGATGTCTGAGCTTTTCTCTTCCATACATGGGTGCTGCTGTGCTGTTGAAGGCTTGAAGGTCCTGTTTTAATCATGCACTCTGTGTTTAGAACTGAATATGTCACAATGGACTGATGCTGTGTCCCCGTATCTGCAGGAACAGGGTCCATTATATCTTTTCTAAGCATCTGCTTTTGAATGTGATATAATTTCACAGCTGAAACATCTCCAAGAGTCAGTGGTCATTTTTAGCCAGTGCTGTTAAAATGCCTTTATAGATCCTGCGATTACAAACCCATCAGGATCCCGACCGAAACCAGTCGAGTGGTGATAAATGTAACACACGGGCACCATGCATGTGTGAAAAGATCGTTAAGTTGTGTTTCTTTTTAATCAACGTGAATTAATTTCTGCTAGATGAGTCTGGGCGGCGCGTTGGGGGCAGGTGGGCGTTCAGTCGGTGGCCCGACAGAACTCACAGGCATCGCCGCCGTCCCAGGTGTGGACCTGAACGCCGCTCAGCAGGAACGCTGGGGACCAGATGGCATTAGCCGTCCTTCCCAACGCCCGAGGCTCGCTTGTCTTTGACTCGGCGTGCATTTGTTGCCTGTTTGCGCGTCACGTCGACTTGCCTCTGCAATTCTGCGGAGGTAAAATAATAATAATAGTAAAGAAAATAAAGATGTGGCAGTAATAACAACAAGCTGCGCTTCTTTGATCCTGGCAATAAAGCTGCTCTTTCTGTCTCTCTCTCTCTCTCTCTCTCTTTTTTTGACCTGATGTGAGATGGAGAGTGGATGTGTGGGCATGAATAGAAGCACACACATCGCTCCTGGCCTGAGACAGAACAGCATAATGATTGTCTGCTGCACCTTTGGGTGTTTGGAGAAACAAAAATATCTAACCAAAACAGATCTTATCAGTGAGCGCCGTGCAGCCTCTCTGGTTTCCGTGTAGGTCGTACCGGCTGAGCTCTAATTTTAGCCTTTTGGTGCCGCCTGTCATCAGCACTAAACGGGTTCTTAAGACTGTACTAGATTCTGCTGTTTAATTTCAACCTGGTTTTGAAACCAAACTCTATCTAAAAGGTATAAAAGTGTGCTTGGGGAATTTATGGCCGTTCCACCAGAAATGCACTTACGAGGTCAGACTCCAGCCTGGGCGTTGTCTCCTTACGCCGTTCTGGAGCGCTTTGCATCGCCGCATCTAACACCACCTGAGCCGATCCATGAAGCTCTCTGTGTGCTGTTTTTGCTCTAATCTGAACATAGCATGACATTTAATCAGTAGCCTCTGAATCTAATCAAAGTTGGTAACCTGCGCGCACCCCAAACCTTGGTTTTAAGACGGGTCACGTCGCTGTTGCTCCAACCTTCTTCCAGATTTTTACAATACCACCAATAACTGACCTCAGAATATTTAGTGTCAAAAACATTTAAAGATCAGCTTTGTTAAGTGGCATCCCATCAAGGCACCGTGCTGAAATGTTTGTAGAAGCCAAGGTTAAAGGTACATCTCGGTTATTTTTGCCTTCTTTTTGGGAATCATGCATCCTTCAAAAGCCTGGTTTTGCTCTTTTGGTTTATAATACATGATATGATAAATTATATCTCTGCAACTATTTTTGACCAAGAATGTCACAGATTTCTACTCTTAGAGCTGCTCATGTTGGATACTAAGAGCCACATTTAGATTACTAAGGGGAAATGTTTAACTCTGAAAACCTTCAAACTTCAAACTCCTCCCCACCCCACATGGCTTGTTTGTAAAAAAAAAAAACAACAACAACAACAAACAGAAATAACATGAAGCAGGAAACTGTGCTGGGACGATGAGTGTCACCAGTCTCCTCTGCTGTTTAACAAGAAACAAATGAGTTGAGTTTGGCAAGTAAAAGCCCCATAAAAGACTGATCGGTCCTGCCTGCCTGGGTTTCCTGTTACAAAGCAGCTTGATGAGAAGGACTGGAGCTCGGTGAGATATTTTGTCCCACTTTCTTGTGAAATGCTCTGAA